AAAACGTTAAAAGGTACCTAAAAATCCACCTCGGGTCGGATTCGTAGGTTTTCCCATCCGATGGAAGGCGAAAGGAATCGAACGCACTTTGAAATTCGGAAATCGGTCGGGGGGTTCTCCTGGAACATTAGAATGGGAAATCAGTCAGTCAGCCCGCACGTGAGCTTATAGGTATTTAGATTCTCTTCTGATTCTTGCTTTCAACTTATTCACTATTATGTCTCTGAATAAGTTGCGGCTGGAAGCCGAACAGTTCGGCAAATCAAGAGAATAGAATCTTTATTAAATTTGTATGAAAGAAAATGCCTCCCCTCTCTAACTGTTTTTAGCCCGCCCTTCTGCTTTGAAAAAGCTATCCGGCGGGCTTATGCAAACGACCTCGTGTGTGTCTGTGTGTCTGTCTGTCTGTTCCACAAGAAGGAGATGCTAGAGACTTCAAATTTTCAGGGGATCTCAAGGTTCACTCCCACAAAACAAAACGCCTACGGCAAATCCTGCCAGCCGCCCCTAAAGGGCTGAAAGGGGGTATCGAAGAAAACAGGAAAGGGCAAAAAAGCTAGAAAAAATATTTTTTCTGATGATCTCCTAATAGGTAACTTCTGAAAGTAGAGTCCTTTGGACGTAAATTTCGTCCGTTTTGCTCTATCTCTCATCGTTTAGGCGCTAGAGGGAGTTTCTCTCACAAAAGTGGCCCAAAAATAAATTTAGGCCTATTAATTTCCGAAAATATTTAGGGGTAAGTTGTGAAAATAGAGCCCTTTGGGCGAAAATTTTGTCCGTTTTGCTCTATCCCTAACCGTTTACGCACTAGAGGGTCTTTTTAGACGAAAATAAGCTAAAAATTGCCATAGTGAACAATAAGATGTAGAAAAAGGCCTAAAAACCGCAAAATAGCAAGGAAACTCTCCCCCTACACCCAAAAAACGTTTTCTAAGCAGAAGGGTGGGTTGTAGTCGCAGTGCTTCACCGCTACATCTCTTTCTCGAGTCTTTGGGGCAAACTCAAAGACGACGGGTTTAAGCGGTCCGAAGGCCCGCAACATCTGCCGATCACGTTCTTCAGCAATTCGCGTAACAGAAACGGTCGGGCCGCAGGCCCGACCATCGCCGCCGGCAGGCCAAGCAGGCCCGGCCCCTGCCGAACGGAGTTGCCGGCGGAGCAGAGCGGAGCTGGCAACTTCGTTTGGCGGAAGGGCGGGCCTGCTTGTTATTAATTTCTTCTGTTGTGTGCATTTTGCAACTCAATCAACTCACCATATCTCCCCTAACCTCTGCATTGCAAGGTCTACCTGCAGTCTTCATTTATGCACTAAAGTTAAACCATGTTGTAGGAGATAGATGTTCTGGGTTGTGTTGACAGAGAGGCACCATTTCTTTGGATGATAAGGGATAGCAAAATCACAGTTTCTTAACAAGCATGATTGGTAAGTCAGTTATGAAAGCGAAATGACTCAACGAATTTGAAAAACAGAAACATTGTCTTCTGCTCTACTCGATCTTGAGGAAAATAAAAACAGCAGCAGGACGATATCAGAAATTTATCAACGTAATTTCGCTTTGAGTGAAAATACTAGAGGAGAACTTATTCGCACTCCACGCTAGTGTTGATGAATTTCTCATATCGGCCTGCTGCTGTTTTTATTTTCCTCGAGTAGAGCAGAAGACAATGTTTCTGTTTTTCAAATTCGTTGAGTCATTTCACTTTCATAACTGACTAACAACCAATCATGCTTGTTAAGAAACTGTGCTTTTGCTATCCCTTATCATCCAAAGGAATAGTGCCTTTCAGTCAACACAACCCAGAACATCTGTTTCCTACAACATGGTTTAACTTTAGTGCATGAATGAAGACTGCAGGTGGCCCTTGCAATGCAATTGAGTTGCAAAATGCACACAACAGAAGAAATTAATAAAAACAGTTAAAAAGGGGAGGCATTTTCTTTCACACAAATTTAACAAGGTAGATGTACGCCAGACCACGTCTCGCGTAACAGGCTTCGCGATACCTCACGAAACACTTACGCTGCGACGCGCCTGGCATACACCTACCTTGGCCTGCGGCGCTGACACCCGAGTCAGGTAGTGCAAAAATGTGCACAAAGATACGGGCCTCCGGCCCGTCAACGCCCGTCACTTCGACTAATCATGCAGGGTTGTACATTTTTTCGCTTATTTTCGTCAAAAACACCCTCTAGCGCCTCAACGGTTTAAGCTAGAGCAAAACGGGTTAAATTTTCGCCCGTAGGGCTCTACTTTGATGAGTTACCCCTTAGGACACCATAAAAAAATATTTTTAAAAAACGTCATTTTTGGTACCTGTTGTTTTCGATTTTTTAAAAATCCAATTTTTGAGCTAGAAAGCTCATCTTCGAACTCGATCTATCTTTTTATGATACAAAACGACCCTGAAAATCCCAGGTCGCTATCTCAATTCGTTTTCGAGTTTTCGTGCGGACAGATACACAGACAGACAGACACACAGACACACAGACAGACAGACAGACAGACAGAAAGAAAAAGTTTTTTCCGACCAGACGGAGTAATAGGCTTCGCTAATCGCTCAGCCAATAAAGATTCTACTCTCTTGATTTGCTGAACTGTTCGGCCTCCAGCCGCAACTTATTCAGAGACATAATAGTGAATAAGTTGAAAGCAAGAATCAGAAGAGAATCTATGCCATATCACTACAAATTTGTGTAGTTGTTGGCTGAGCGATTAGCGAAGCCTATTACTCCACTGATGACCAAAAAGTTTCGCGTCTGTTTGTCTGTCTGTGTGTGTGTGTGTTTGTCTGTACGCACGATAACTCGAG